TACCCCAGTACTCACTGTGGAGGGCTGTGGAAACTCAGCCCACAGTTAATATAGGAGTCTCTATTCATATCTATCTGTTTCTGCAGAGCGAGATCACTTTATTCACCACATTGGATGACGATTGGTGTGGTGGTACATTTCAATATTATCTGAGGCAGACATGAAGGAGAAGTATTATGCTGTGTGAACTGAAGCTGCTGGCTTCTGAGAGCTGGGAGGTGAATTGTATTTCCTGTGAACAATAGTTGTTTTAATGGTTATTTTCTCTGGGACAATGAAGTGTCTGTGGACGCTTGGACATATGGTATGAATCAGCAACAGTAGAGGCCAATTTATTCGTCTTGTACTGCACTTAAACAATGTATTTTATGGCATCATTCCTGACCACGCAGACTAGTGTGCCTGCACTTACACATGATTGCTAGGATTTTTTTCTTTGCGCTTTGAAAGGGCTTTTGTTTGGACCTGACTGTAATCATGAATCAGAATTAGACCCACATTTGGTGCAGCAAGTCACTCCAGCGTCGCAACATTAGCCCTTTTCTACAGATAACAGAATTAACTTGGCAATAGTTTCTAGTAAAAACAAAAAAAATCAAAGTTACCCTTGTCATGGAATAAGCCACAGTATAGACCTTTTTCACGTCACATATTCTGGACAGATAGGAAACATGGGTGGAGTTACTAATGTTAATAATGACCCAGTTCCACCGGGTGTTCCAGTATGCCCTGACGGTGAATCAGCACGCATAGTAATAGGATCCCCCGCCATGTGTTTTGAAGTCTGAATGTCAGCTGTGCAAAAGCTTCTTAGGATGTGTTTAAATTTTAAGTCAACAAATTAAAACCAACAGTGTTTTTTTTCTTCTAACTTGCAGTGTAATTGTGCAGCTCCAGAATTAATAACCCTTAACTGAGAACACTATTTTAGTGACTACAGTGATGAAGTAATGTAATTTATGACCCACATTACATGTTATACAGGGATTTTTTTTTCTTTTCAATGGCTCTCTTAGTTGAAATCATACCTATACCATTTTTTTTGTTTCAAAGGGAAACACAAACCTCTTGGGGGTTGTGTCAGAAAGGGCATTTGGTATAAACATCTGCCAAATCAAACATGGGAGCTACCTACTATGGCAACCCCTGGTGAATAAAGGAGCAGCCAAAAGTAGCTTTTATACCTGTATTGTTTTTATCTGTGGCAGATAGTTCTTGTCCAGTATCATAGATGGTAAAGAATTTGTCACATTGTGACCCCTGCAGTCCAGTTATCGTATCAAAGATTAGATGTTTTCCTTGAATTTTCTCAGGGATGCCACTCACTGGTTTTCCTTTTCCGCATCTTCCAGTCTTCTACAGTTCTATGCATAGCTAGTTTTTGCATCACATCACAAAATGTCGTAATTACACGACTTACTGGGCATGTATTGCCAGAAGGTGCATTTTTCATGGGAAGGGGCAAAATGTTCATCTACTGTCACCTCAGGGTTGAACATCAGTCAGTGGAAAGACCTGCATCCGTTCCTAATGGGAGCAAGCTTGTCAGATGTTGCTCTAGTATTGGTGTTGTAAAATCTGAGGACTCTTGATATTATTCCGAAGGTCTGAAGTGACATTGTAGTCTGGAAAATAGTTCTGCCTGTTGATGTGTCCCTAAGACTATCAGTGTTCTCATTGCTGGATCTGTACACAACAGCAAGAAGAACACCATTATAGGCATCCAGGTATTCTCATCAATGCCATTCCAAATGTTGCCATGGACTTTTTTTCCTTCAAAAAATGACAATGGCATAAACGGATCAAAACGTGTCTTGATGTCACTTATTCTTGTCACAGCAAACCAGGTAATCCCAGGCGTCACTTTGATGACATGTGCAGCAATTACCCTACCATGTAAGCCAGGAGTTATTGGACTAAAAAGATATGTCAACAACTGCTTTTGTCAACAACAACTGCTTTTC